TACGAAGGCAAGCAACCGTTACTAAGAAAAAGTTGGACCAAGCAATCAAAATGTCGTGTCTACTAAAAAAGTGTCATTCAATACCTCCATGTGGAGAAAAGGTAAACCAACCAACCAAGCAACTTGACTCTGTGATAAATGCACGTCTCGTCTTTGCCATTTCATTAAACGACCACACTAATAAAACCACTCACTATGTTCCGTCTCATGAATGTGATTCAGTGCAAGACGCGATATTCTGGAGTTTGTTAGTCGCTGGGGGTAATCTACTTGTGCCATTTTACGACATGCTCCTGTGAACGTCATTTCCCTGATTAAATGTCCCTCAATTCCCAATATTTTAATTCCATGGCACGGTAGAGATTCGTCATGCAACTGGCCTTCACTTGGTGGTTGGCTCAGGTGTGAAAGGACAAAGAACAACAAACAACTCTCATTCCCCGCTGTCTTCGAGACTGACATTCGCCTCAACCAACAAAGTAATTCAATATGATTATGGATGTTATGGGCACGTCTTCTGAGAAGATACTCAATTATGGAACCGAACTCATATTGTGCTCACATAAACAGACACAGCGTAATGGAGTACTTTTTAACCAGCTAAACCCAGATTCCGATTGAGCAAGGGAATAACTCCCAAACGTGCCATTGACCATTGTTTACTGAATTTCAAAGGGTAAAATACAGCAGACAAATAAGACAGGGGATTTACTGCTGCATGGGAAGAAAGTCGAGCAGAGATGATGATTTTTTGAGTCGTTTCCACAAACCTTGTAGTAACTGGTAACATATTACTGCTGCTGGTTCTACAACAAATCTGGAATTCCCAGTCTACTCATTAAAATTCCCATGAGCACTCCACCATCAAAAAGCAAAAAGATGTATATACACCACCAACAATTACTGGAATAGCCCTCATCACGGACTAGAATCTCACCACAGCAAACTTATGTACTTTCACTGAAACACTTTTCAGAGCTTTGAAGTTGCTAAATTACCTCGTCTCCTAATTAAGCAGACGAGAGTTTAGAAATAAAAATTCAGAGTGACCACTCAAGTAATAATTATTATTGGGTTGCAGTGAGCCTACGTATATGCACCTAAGTATGGCCTTCTTTTTCACCGTAAATCACAATAATTAGGAACCTCACCCACTCGGGATTAGTCTCCGCTTCTGGACGTCTCTCAATTTGGAGCTGATCACCCAGTCAGACACCACACGGGGAGGAGCAGGAAGCAGCGAAAACAATGGGCATCGAGGCGTGACGAGACACGAAGCAACAGGACTCGACTGTTCTTTTCCATTGGCAAAAATTTATTGTCAATGTGGTGAACGGGATCGGAGGGAAATGAGAAAATCTATCTGTCACACTCCGACCGTGTACACTTATGTACAAGTCCATATACGTATTTATAAGCCTATACGTGCACATATGTATGTACGTCTCAGCCTTCCACGGTCATACGTATGTACATGGAGGCAGGCCGTAGTGCTGGGAGATTTCCCAGCCATCCGCTCACTAACTTTCACTTATCTTCATGCTCTCTTCTTCAGCAGTCCCTCCTCATCTGCCCAGCGACACTTCCCCTTCCCCCTCATCCAACAAGAGTAAGCAGTAGAAAAACACGGACCAACTGCTTTCCAGTATTATTATATCATTACTACCGTTCTCCACTTTCCCACACAATGGATATAACTTTCTCCCACATTTTCGTCCCCGCATGTCGCGTTGCATTATCGGGGGCGCAGACAATACATACGCCAACGACTCTCTCTCTCTCTCTCCTGATCGTGATTCTAGGCTAATCCTCCATGAACACTTCCGACTCGGGCGATGAATTAATCGGAGGTAAAGTGGATTACAAAGTGAATGTGTGTGTATGTATGTATATGTATGAGGCAAATGAATAAAACGACGATGCACGCTAACCACATTACACTGTGGAATATTGCAAAATCACAGAGCAATTAGAAGGTTGTAATCGCAATTGTCTCTTCCTCCCAATCTACTATATTACATTTACAGGCAACACTGCAGAAATATTGACACATCCCTTCTGTTTAACTCGTGTTTATTTTATGCTGCGAAATGTGTAAGCATAAGGGAGTAGCAAACTTTGAAAAACTCGACGTAATAAAACACCTGGTTGTAACCGAAATCAACGGCTATTACCAGGAAGGATATATCCGTAGAAAACCTGGAGATTACGTACGTAATTCCGAGGTCAGCGAGTTGGTAATGCCCTCCATTTAAACAGAAGTATCTATAACACCGTCTCCCAGAAGATATGATCTTTCCCTATTTTTTAAGCATGAGACAAATCTCTATATTCAGGTTGATGGTGTACGAGCAGTACTCGAAGTGATGTCCAAAACGAGATAACGAAGAACAGAGATCTTTTGACATCCGAGTCGAACATAAAAACAAATGACCTCCATGAAAACCCTGTCGATACATTCGTGCCGATCATCACCATAGTTCAGAGTTCTTTCCAATGTTCTCTATCCACGCAAATCTTGTCCTGTTGTAGAGCAGTAGTAGCGAAATACCAAGAAATATGTATAGTGCACTTACAATGGAGGTCTCCCAACGTATGCTCACAGATTTGGACCAAACTAGTGTCAATCGATCACAAATATAATTAGTATGAAATTTGCAAATGGAACTATCTGCCAATACGCAGGTTTGGCGGAGATATTTGCATTCAAAGCAGAAAAATGCGCAGGGAATTTGGAAAATGAAAAATTTGCCAGCCTTTTGGTGCGTTTTCTCCTCTTTTTATGCAAATATATCCGCCAAACCTGCGCATTGGCAGATAGTTCCATTTGCAAATTTCATACTAATTATATTTGTGATCGATTGACACTAGTTTGGTCCAAATCTGTGAGCATACGTTGGGAGACCTCCATTGTTAGAAATAAAGTCAGAAGAAATCAATAGAAATGGTTAGAACATCACATATAGATCTTGCCTCGTGAGATGAAATGAATATTGGGCATTGTCCAATCTGACAAAGTGTACTGGTTCATATGTGCGTACATATGTTGTATATGTACATGTGTACATGTAGCCGTAAGGATGCCGGTTGTTTGATTTGAAGTCTATAGTTTTTCGATGATGAATATGGGTCCTGTGCCTATAGCTATGAAAAGTATGATACATTTTGATCTAACAACTTCTCGAATCTATTGATTTATCCAAAACCTTTCATCTACCTCCTTACATAGGATCATAACAAGGCTATCATCATACATAGTTATCTAGCCATCATATTTACGTACATATACGAGCCGTAAATTTATTGCAAAAATCGAAATGCAATAAAATTCACGCTTTCAATTTATGTATCACCAATGGTATGTTATGTACAATATTATGTATGACCAATGTATAACGAAGTCAACATACTCCTGGATAAAACCGCCTTTAAACTATAGCTCAATACATTACATTACATACACGCTTGACTTTAAGTTGGAAATACTAAAGCTGCAAGAATGAGATGAAAGCGGATGAACCACTTCGTATCTGATATTGGAAATTTCAATTAAATTAAATTAGATATTGGAGATGAGATGGAATGAGATTACGTCAGCAAAACCCAACAAACTTTCCATATTCCTCTAGTATTTGCTTAGTATTTCGGATAATAAACGAGCAAATACGTAACAAAGATATTCATAACAAACTACTCAGAAGTCAGTTTCAAAACCATATCATACATATATGACTATCTAGCTATAACATATCTCTACTAAAGTTTGAATTTGAAAGTACTTTCGTCCTGTCAATTAAATTTATTTTGCACACGAATCCTTGATAAGTGCAAGTTCCAAAATTGAAATTCAGTCATGGGAAGTTGCATCAAAGTAACAAAAGCTGCTTTGGCTTGGAACAACAATGTAACAAAGGAGGAGTACGTACGCAGAACGCTCGATGAACAAAAAATTATTGATGAGCTTAAAAGCATTTTGTAGTAAATTTTAAATTATTTTCCGTGGCTAATTCAATTCATCCCATTATTCTTGACGCCTGGCCGATTTTCTCTCCTTCACTTCACTGGATGAGATTATGGGAATCGAATTTTCACTGCAGTACTTTCACTAACCTCCGACGCTTTTCACCACCACAATTTCACACTCGCTACTAATTGAACTATTGTGGAGACGAAAAATTAGAAAATATTTTATCTTGGCCATTGCCTCTTGTAAACTACAATAGAAATCACCACAAGATATATACATAATCAGAAAAGAGGATTATTCTGTTAGAATAAGGAAATTCTACTATTTTATAATTATGAAAATCCTGTTGCATCTTTGACGAAGCTTCATATTCCTCAAATATTAACAGTTTAGTAATGTTCGGAAAAGTTAGAGAAATTATCAATTGTTGCTGACCTTACTTGAATTTTTTCTTCAACAAGAAGGGCTTGGTCAGACTCGAGATGAGATTTCATCCTTTTTTATTATTCCACGTATGTCCTTTCCCTCAGGCGAGTCAAGTGCCCAAGCCTAAAGCTCTCAATCAAGTCGGCCCTTCATGTCACGAGAAAGTAGGGCTGCTGGCTGACAGCACTCTTTCCTTGCAGTGCAATTGAATACTGTGTGAATCACTCAGCACACTTGCTCACCAGAAGGATGGACTTTCTTCACGGAAAAAGTAATACGTTCCAATAAGTAATGATGGGACTCTTAAGAGGGCAACTGGACAAACAAGAAAATTGTGTTTGCAAAGCATTTGGCTACAAAAACTACTGAGCACTCTTCCGTGACTAACTGAAAGTCTTGGTTATTAAGCTGCAGCTCGAGCTTGATATTTTGAAGTATAAACATGCTCATTGATTTTTATTGCTGAAAAAGTGCTACATGTCCAATTGATTTGCTAATTAAGAATAATCGGTGTACCGGAAACTTTTTATTGTAAATTAGTTTTTAAGCAACTTCCGCTGTTATTTGGTTTGACGCACCTGTGCTCAAGTTAAACGGATTTGTATACCTTGCTCCTGGATCTGGAGTGGTCGTCTTTTGAAGGTCTGCGAGAATGCACAGGTACAGGTCTGACCTCCTGCTTCCGAATCATTCTTGCTGCCGCAAAGGCCATTTTGGTCAAGGGTTTTGTATCAGTGCACTCTCTGTCTTACAAAATTGGTTGTCCGTCTCCTACAGTGGAAATTCTCCATTTTCAGTCTATAAATTTGATTTTGTAGCCTGAATGGTATCATATGTAGCTTAAAAATAGAAAAGTAAATGAAATACAAATGTCGTCATTGCAGATTTGGCTCTTTGGGTTTCACGTAATTTCAAACTGATTCAATCAGAACTTCAATTTTCAATGCATCTTGCAAAATTGCATAAAAACTTCAAGGGAAAGAAGTGCCCCCACATTTTTCAAAATCCTTTCCAATCATTTAAGTAAATTGAAAATGAAAGTGTAATCAATTATACTTGAGACTTTTATATAATTTATAAAAGGAAAGAACATAAAAGAAGTCACAACTCTACTGTAGGCAATCAGAAAAAGGAATATTTTCCATCTCAATTTTGGCAACTGCCTACAAAAACAGGTAGCTTACATACGAATGTATATATGATAAGATCGCGATGGTTGTGTTTCTAGGTTTATTATTTTAGTTTCCAATCTCGCCTTTATATTCTCGATAAAGAAGTTGTAAACGTCTCCTAAAATTGGATAATAACAAGATTTAAGAGCAGAAGTAAGCAACTGCTTAACTCCATTCGGTTTCTCATTTCACTCTTGCTCAACATTACTTGTATTTGATACTCGTAAGTCATACTTAACCGGACGGACTGGTGTACAGCGTAGTGTAAAGTTTCAAAAGAAGAAAGTTCCTAGTTCTCGATGATGAAGAGGGAGTCCAATTTATTTATTTGCATTTAAATGAGCAAGATTCTGCTCTCAAGGTCCATCCCGTAAACAGTGAGTGAATGTTAAATTTTGCTATTCAAACCTTCTTAACGGGAAGTATACGAAATTCTGTCTCAATAAATTTCCAAGGCGAGTTCAAGGAGGTAAATAGAGAATGCAAATTTTTCTCCTTTGGGCTTCAGCTACAGATACTTTCTACTTTGTTTGTAACTATCTGTAAGTTGTAGATACATTAGACACATGGATCTGACGAGAGAAGGTTACACACAACTTTTCCAGCCTTGGTCGTCCTCAGTTTGGAAGTAGGGCTTCCACTTGAGCATGGTTATACTTATTGCAGTCCCCAAAATGTCTATGAATATTTCAAACCAGAGAAACTTGTTCTACTTTATAAGACAATGAATCGGATTGATTCATGTGTACATCACCCCTCAAGGGCGTCTTTCTCCGCTCCTTCAGTGGGGCCAGTTTTTTGCTTACTGCAAAGTAAAGTGGACGACTTTATTGCCAACTCTTCATTAATTTTTCAGCATAGGAGGTAAATACGGGAAACTTGGATCGGACACTAAATTGACATCAGAACCTTATAATTCAGAACTAATCTTCATTTAAGAACTTCTTATTGCCACGATTCCAGGGTGAACCTTTCTAAATTTATTCATTCGTGTATATATTAGCATTTATAACATTGAAGTTGTTGAACATGTGGGCTCTAAGTATTTAAACAAATCGCTTCAAGACCATCAACATTTGCTCTACATATTTACAAGGGCATCACGGAATCCAGCAAGTTCTTATGCTTATAATAACCTAAAATTGAATTAGGGAATATCCAAGTGAGCAAATTGCTAATCATTGTAAGAAAGTTACGCTGTGTACCTCCAAATAGGCATTAATAAAGTACTTGATATAATTACTGAGACGGAGAGGGAGCATCTGCAATTGTTTTAATAAGCGAGTAGTTCTTACAGAGAAGTTGCACAACTTTTTACCGAAACGGAATATTCCAGATATGTATCTGCTTTTACTTGGTCCTCGGGAAGCAAGTTTCCGTTATCCATCTTTGGGGAAAAAGTTTTTGCAGCTGTCACTAACCATTTGACAAAGTTGACACAAGAACTGACAATTTTTTTCTGCCAAGCCCAGCCAAGCCGCCTGTCCCCAATCAAGATTGATCTAGATCCTCATATCATCCACCTTGGCTGGATATCATGTTCGCTTGCGAGAGAGCGAAATATATACGTAGCTGGCTGGCCTGCCTGTAATGGTGCTGGTGAAAGTGTGAAGCCTCTAAGCCATTAGTCTCTCTATATGCTTATCCTGGTCTTACCTCGACGTGTGTGTTTGTGTGTGATGATGATGATGTGGCCCTCGTACGAGAAGGAGGGCGATGAAGACGGAGTAAAAGCATAAAAGCAAAATCTTTGCCTCGCTGTCAGTGTTCTCCGCCACTGCTGTACCTTCCGCCATAATCTAACTTATTGCCTGGAGAAAGTTCTTCTTACGGGTAAAGATGACATGATTTAGTACTTTCGCTGGTTTTCTCCGAATAAGATGGATGAAAAAGAGACAAGAGGAGATAACCAAGAAGAATTCGAATGGCCGAGGTGATTCGGTGAAGCTCTCCTGTTTCTGATTTTTGTATGTTGACATTTCTCAGTATGTATGTAATGCAACCCTCCAAGGGAGAAGTGGCAAATGGGTGCTTGTAGAAGAGTGACACCGATAAATGTATATTTACCGTCCTGACACTCCCATTATTTTGGCACTGGAGCAAACCAACACGACCACCTCCCTAAACAGTGTGGATAATTTCCAATCCTCTTATTTATTGACATTGCCGTCATACCACTTCATGTATCAAAGAATCAATTGGACTGTTTATCTTTGAAGTGAAATGACAGTTAAAGTGACTCCACAGATTTGTTATATAAAATGAAAGAAAACTATTCGAGATTGCATCGGGAGTTTGAAAGCCTTTTTTGATTTTATTGCAGACTTTTAAATTGAATGTTATTTTAGAGTCGAACAGGGGAGCAAAAACTATTGTCGGCTTTTTCTTTTCTACTTTTTGGAATGGAAAATTCGTTTTTTTTTGCAATCCTGGACTACATATGTTTGTTGTCTGGTTCTTACAGCAGCAGAGGTATAAATTATAGACCAGTTTTATGTGTTGCTGAGCATGAACATTGAACATTGATGAAAGTGAAGCAATAATAATATGAAATGTGTTCAATTTTGATGTGCTGAAAATGTAGACACACAAAAGAGGGAAAACCTCGATAAAACTATGAAAAGATAACCTCGGACGGAACCTTACATCAAAATTGTAATGATGATCATGACAGGGTTGGCACGACGGGAAATTGAAAATTGGATGAATTGGATGGTCGAGCCACAGACCAGAAATAAGGGTGAGATGATGTGGGCTCTCCCTTTCTCTGCTGCCGTTATTACATATTTGAGGAGGAATCTTAGGATCCCAGGAAACCAACTGGCGAACTAACCAGCCATGGAACGAAACCAAAACTCAGAGTTGAGTGCTGCTACATACCATTGCTGCCGTTCATCCAAACTTTTGCTTTCTCTCTCCTCTGGAATGGAACACTGGTCGTAGGAAAAGTACAAAGGCGAATGTTGTAACAATGCTTGTGTACATCAAACTAAACTGAACTAAATGCAGAGCCAAGACTACTGACTCGTCCAAGTCGATTTCGTCCTCGTCTCAGGATGAAAGCTTGGCCCAATCTTTCCACTTTACTTGTTTAGCTCCTCTCCAACCTCTGTACATGCATGGCAAGAAGTATGGAAGGCAATGTGTGCTGCTCCAGAAAACTGGGAAGAAAGCGATGGCTATTATCCCGACTTGTTTATCGAATTGAAAGTTGCAACTGCTGAGCGGAGCCGTAAAGTGTGGGTTGCATATACAACAGAAAGGCATATCTCCTCTCCCGTTGATTGTATGTTTTATCCCCAAAGGCATTTAGTTGTTTATTGGACATCAAAGAATGCTCGGTTTCTCATCGTGGCAGCGTAAATCTTGGCTTTCCACATCCACTAACCACCCAATCCGCTCAATGCTTCCTTCCTTCATTAGACTAAAATCCAAATCTTTTGCCCTGACCTAGCTGCCGGCTCTCTGCTTGCTGCTCGGATGCACACAACCCATTTTCCCTCCAGTCTTTTGGCTACAAAGTGAAAAGTACCAAAGTTGGAGATGGGATTAGAAAAGAATATTTCACAGACACTGCTGACACTGACAAAATGAGCAATAATGGTAATGTGGAAAATGAGATGCGACAGGGGAAGAGGACCCGAGACGAGAGAAACGCAACCATTTCCTGGGGAAACGATGTAACCTCTTGGGCATGTTAATCCTCTCCTACACTTTCACCACATTCCACCAAACGACATGTTGTGCAGTACGTTCTGACTTCCTACGCCTTCCACCACCACGCAGTCCTACATGTGTACCATCACTTTCCCTCTCTCTCTCCATCCTCGGCACCACCACTCACTACTAGAGCTCCACTACTTCTGTAGTACGATTGCCAATAAATGTTTTCGAGTAACAGCAATGCAAATCTCGCTAGGATCCAGTTACACAAAGTTGCAAACATTATTGGACTAGACTTTTTCATTCGATGCTTTGTCACTGCTTTTGACGCCTCCTCTCCTCATGTTTACACAATTCTTCAGTAGAGTTTAATCCTTCCAGTGGTTTTCGCTATTATGGATCCGTTTTACTGTCGGGTTGTAAATGAATATCATGAATATATTGACTGCAGGGAGTTTCCGGATGAGAGCGTGCATGCATAGTATCTATTAATTTGGAATATCTAGTAGTGCGAATAGGAAAAAGATTAGATACGGGTAGCCTTGTCGAAAGTAATTTATTAGAAATAAGCAATTTGATCCTTATCATTGGCAACTAATGTTTTAAAATGAGACAGTCTTTGATAAAATTTAAAACGTATTATTTTTCCAATTTAGTTGAAAGTTACTCTATTTCATAATTAGATGGATCAAAGAATATTTGCGTGGCAATTGTACGTAAATACTGTGTGGATTTTGGAATGCATATGTGGCTACAGTAGCGGTGAAACTGAACTGTGATTTAAATTCATGGCCATCTTTTGTCAAAGGCTTAGTAAGAAGAAAGTCGCTCTTATCATCGCGTATACATAAGCTCGGCTTATTCGTCAATTCTAGGAATCACAGAACAGTGTAATTTATTTGGTTTCAGCAGAAATTGGGGGTCCAAATTCGATTTCAAATACGTGCCCACTCTGAAGGCAATTTGTCTTTGTTGAAAAGATAACTCTAGGAAATTTAGGAAATCTTGATATTTACGAAAAACAGAAAGAGTCGCAATCGGAATAGACGAGAACAAAGCTGGAAAACTGAAAGCACGAAACTGAATTTGTAAATTCTTCAAGCTTTTGTTTGACAAGTTTCACGGTTGACAAGATTGGATTTTGCTTTCGCTGAGCTTGAGTTGGGCCAGAAATTCTAGGCTTTGCTGAAACTCCACGTTGCGATACGAATGATACGACTCTTATTCACTCTGCAGAACTGGATTTCCCCACTTGAACCTATTGACGGACCTTAAATATGTACGCTGCTAAGTATTTACTGCTACGTGATATCATCGTACCAAGGAAAGTGCGACATCTTGTTGTGTGACCTGGTAAAATCAGGACACCACTGCAATCGCATTTTGTAGCGAATCGGTAGTGATACGATGGTGGAGTTGGCAATTTGGTCATTGCCAGAAAATTGCAAATTTTTGTATGATTTATTATCGGGGCTGATTCAGCCGGAAATAATATCGTGTCAAATATATCCTGCAGCGAACCAGCTCTCTTGGAGCATTTTCTTTTTTTCGATGTTATCAGTAAGAACAGTATAATAAAATCAGGCCACTAGCCAAACCAAAACCATGTCGTTCATTTCATAGCTTTTTATCTTTACTTTCATACAATGGGCAATAGTTGCGATAAATAACTAAACCCAAAGAGCCAAACTGCGACAAACCACTCCTGCTCATTATTCTTTTTAATGGCAAAATACACAAAGAACATGATATTCGTAACACTACGAATCAGACTGAATTCGTATTTGGAAATGTTTTTGAATTGTAATAGTTTTAGTGTACAGACTACTTGATTATGCAATCTGGAAATTAACATAATCATATTGAAATTTTCTGGTCTAGATTTTGCTAAAAATAAATATTGAATATGGGCAACAACTAGCTTTTGTCTTACCTTAAATTAGAAAATTCGGAATTGTTTTGGCAAAGTATTGCTTGTGTTACGCTACATATCTTTCGAGAATATGTATATTCGACTACCTGTATTATGTCACCATTAAGTTCTCCTCTAATATAATGTTTTTATGTAAATCTCAATTTCACCTTAAAGCAATTAAAGTTGATTTGAAGTTGTTTAACTCATATCCAAGAAAATCCTCGTCCAACACAAATGTTGCCTTTGTGGTATTGTCCTTAAGAAATGCAGCTTTGCAAAACTTCAGTTGCAATGGTTTTTCGGCTACTGGACAAAATGGTCGAAAGAGTCACTTGCAATGCTCAACCGAATGGCGGAATTGTGCATTCCCGAAATTGTCACACATTATAGGAAAAAGTAAACTAGTTGGTCAGCGAAGTAGTAGTCAGCAACTTGTAATATACATAAATTGAAGTTTGGAGAGTGGGGGAAAAGACATAAACACGAATGGAGATGGGCAGAAGAGAGCATTTATTTATGGGCTCTTCTTTTCCTCCGAAATATTCTTTGGGGGAACAGAGTAATGTCGTTGTCAGGTTTGATATGGGGAGCACAGTAATAATTCTTACAGGGCTACAACACTTCACTTTCACAAGCTTAATAAACCAGAGACATTCTGACAGTGCGGATATACTTCACCCGGTCTCAAGGATAACAACGCATTGACAAAAATGCACAGTTCAACAACAATCGTGCCGGCCGATGCAGAAAAGATTTCTCGCTGTGCTATCACCACCCACCTGTCCTGCTTGCACAGAGAAAGGAAGAAATGTGCTTTTGTCACGAATAGTTGGTCTCTTTAGAAGAATGTCACGTGGTGATGGACTGACTCCTGATCTGCTTCATTCATTCCAGAGTATCCATTTTTTAAACAGTTGTAGTATCATTTATCTCTTTCCTTCTTGAAATGCATGTCTACAATGTCTGGGAATTTATCAACAAGAATTCGTGAGACTATGCAATTCAGTATCTTTTCGTAGTTGCCAAACTTGGTAGCCAATATAGTCCGTGATTACTTATTTTGTGAGGACCACTTGTTTCAGACTCAATTGTGTATGTCCTTTTTGCTTGGATTTGCCTTTATCGGACTAGTTTATTTGCGATGGACGAACCAAAAAAGAGCTTGATAAGAATCAGATGATGCCTCGTTTTTATTGCCTCATTTTGGCCATATCAGAGTCTTCCTTCTTGCCTTTCACTCAAGGCGAATATATTACTCAGCCGTTCCACCCGGCCAGAGTTAAATGGATATTCCCAGAGGCAAGTTTATTGATCTTGCGAGATTACGAGCATTATCGTTCGGAAATTCACAATTTGTTGGCTTGAGCGAGGTGTGGTAAAATAGGTTTAACGGGGTTTCAGAATTCTTTAGCCCATCAACTTGTCTGTCATAAACAGAGGGAGAGAGTTACAGTGGAGTCACAGAACAAGGTTCACATTGCCTTGAAACAATCATTGTGAGTGAAAGGTGCACAGTAAGAGACACAGGGAGAAAGTTGACACAGGGTCCTAGTTGGCACATGCACAGGTTTGAGAATGGGCCGGAGAAAGGAGGGAGAAAACGGCAGAAATATGTAATAATAACAACAAATGTGAGCAGATGGGGAAAGCCAGTCGAGTTGAGAAACTGGGAGAAATTAGAGGAGCGAGCGATGGTGATGTGTGTTGGCTTAAGAACCTTGTGTCATGAAGTAGCCGAGAAGGAACGGGATTTATACTTCTTGGTCTCTGACAGAGAATGAGTGAGCGGGTGTACAAACAAACAGACGGGGCAACAGATTAAGATTACTCGTTCTGGAAGACGCCGTAGTGGGAAAACATTCCAAAAAGGTGTCGTAATCACCAGCAGCAGCAGCCTCGTCACTTTTCTTCCTTCTATTTCATTTCTCTCGCCTTTGTTGCAACTCGAGACCGATTATGAAAATCCCGTGTGTTGGTAAGTGAGCCACTAACCAACCCGGACAGCGAGGACGAGAGGAGAGAGCGCGGAGGCAGACATCTCGAGTCGACAGGGCCTTGTGGTGTGCGTCGAACTAGTAAAAGCCTCGGAACTAATGGCGTAATCTGCAGTGCCTGGGCTGACTAAAACTGAGAATCTCACTCCTCTGCCACTGTAGCGGAACCCCTGTTACTGTTCCTTCCTTGCTCGGGGACGCAGTCTGGGCCTGTGTGAATTCGGGAGCCGAAGCATTGAGCACAGTCCGTAGGTACTGGTGCTCCTGGTGGACACTACACCTTCGCAGCAGCCTTATTCGTAGAAACAAGCAGCCTTAACCTTCCGCTTTCACCTTTAATGTTCCCTCCTCGTCTATCCAGTCACTGGCTCGACACACTTGACTTTCACTGGCGAAGGACTTTCCCAACCTCCTGCGTGTCATCTCGATCCCACTGTCACCACAAACAACGGGCTTGGATCGAATATTATCATTATTAAAACACTGTCATTTCCTCCTCACTCGTCCGATTACAACAAACCCATCAAAGTTTTATCTGCAACCTCGACTCTGATGCTGTTTCGAAACGTTCCGCTTACCGGAACTCGTGCAGATCAAGGACGACCAAGTGGAGATTGTTTATGCATTCACCACGTTATAAAATCCCAAAGTTATGATGATGACTCTGCAGTCGTTGTCCATAAGTGTGCACTCAATGCATGTAAAACAAGCTTTTATATGCAAGGAGCACTTTGGACGGAGACTCGTCCGTGCTTTCCTTCCCATGAGTGACAGTTGTTGCATGACGATGAAATACCGTCGGGTGGAATATTAGCATCGCTTTCCACCAGACCAGACCAAGTTTGGTCAATGAAGAGTACATCTCTCTACTTGGCATATGTCGACTCTGATGCAGTCCTTGTTTTATTCGAATTTCATGTTTTATATTTCTCTCTCTCTGTAGTGTTTTATCTCGACGGTAGATCCAACTTTCACCCCACATTGACAATGCAAAGTTTGATTTGCGGACTTTGATTTTGCGAAAATATTGATCATGGTGTCAGCACACGAAGGGAGAGTGAGCAAATTAAGTTTACAAACTTTTTTATCGTGCCCATCCTCATTAAGCATATTGTGTAATAAAAAGTTGGGACTTGTAGCAAGATGGTGATGAACGTGATGATGTCATGTCGTAATTTTCCCGATGGGATAAAAGAGCAAGCCGAGTAGTGGTAGACTAAGGCTTATTAATGGAGCATGTGAGTGGAGGAAAAGAGAAAAAATGGTTAATCTACCTGCCATGCATCCATCCGAACATGGCAACTCTTTCGTCCGTCTTATCATTACCAAAACCCAGCATATACGTTGCTGCGGAAATTCACAGTCCCCCTTTACAGATTTCGTGTAAAACTAAAAAAAACGCCCATTGCGTGATGCACAGTCTGCGATATATAGCTACATATTTACTTATATGTACACGTTGTGATAATTGGAAGACAACTGCTAATCAATTATTGCATAAAATGTATGTGGTACATATCGACCCCTTAAAATTGTTGAACCTCGTTTTGAAAGATTTGCACTATTGTAAGCTGCAACAAATAGAATAAAACGAAAGTGCATGATACAAAATATTAAACGCGTGCGATTTATTTTGTAAGGAAACATTGAATCACAGTAAATTACTTTTCATAGCGAACTAAAATCAATTTGCTTCACTTCATGAGAACATAATTAGACAATGGGTGACTGACTTTTCAATGCATTCGGGTCTAGTGAGTGCCACATAGTAGGAAGTCATTAAGAATCTACTCCACTCAATTGCGTTATAATTATGTCTCAAACTCGTTTACTGCTCTTCAAAGAAGTCTCTGGAGAATCCAAAGACTTTAGTCAGAGAATTTTGCTGTCAGTTACACGGTCGTCCATACGCAGAAATCAGCAGAATGTTTCCCTGGTATTCACACAAGCAGCCACTCATTCATTTCGCAGAATATCTGAACGAGACTCGAGTGTCGTGGGCGTAGAATGAATTGTGAGAATCTGCTTCTTTCTTGGAAACGAAACCTTGTCAAGAGTGAGAAGAGCTTTTTGTGAATGCTCCAGTAAAAAGTGGTTGGCAAGAGGGCACAAGAGATTAGGGCCAAAGCATCGCTCTTCTTATTCTTCTTTCTCTCGACTCGTCTTGGAGGTGGACCAAGAAACAGTGCTTGCGGGATGAAGAGCATTTCTATGTTTACCCAACGATCACCAAGTCTTGCCAATCCCTCCATCGTCGGTTAATTGACAAGAACGTGAATGATGATCCGAGGGCTCCAGCCCAAAAACAGAACACAGATATCATGGACTCCAATGGGAATTGGGATGAAATGAAGTAAAGTCAACGGCTTACGTTCTGCCATTCAAAATGAAGAATGGCGAGTGGTGAATGTGTGTACTTCTGGGATTTATCTGCTTTCACCGCTAGCCAACAACCTTTCACTTGATCCTTTTCCTCCTTACCTTCGTATTATAATGAGTAATGAATTCATGATAATGCGACAAAAAATGACGGACTCTGGGGAGCCAGCCTCCCAGACCCCACGCGGTTAACGAGTTTTTCCCAGTCAGCCTCTTAAAATCTTGATCCTGCTTTTTCTAAATAACAAGACCGCAACCTCAATTGGTAACCCTCTTACTTCGTGGAATGATTTTATTGAAAACTCGCATCACGTACCGAGCCAATATAATTATATATATATTTATTGACCAGCTTGTGCTTCTAATTCCTTCTCTAAGCCGTTCCTTGTACACGTATGTCAAAGAAAACTATGCGGTGTATGTATGATTCTTATCAGCACAGAGATATCTATTTTTCAACCAGAAGTTAGACCATCGTTATTATTGAACTTTTTTTTACTACTGGGCTCTGAATGGAGTTTATTTCTTCGATGATGATGAAACCCTACAGCGTAGGACGAGGTCCCAATAATGGCCTGTGGTTTTGGTTGGAGTGTGTCTGGTCACATTATAGATACCAAATTACGACGTTGCCGTGACCGTCTCTTCACGCCCCATTTCAGATCCTTTGACTTTTTTCAAGAACCTTCCAGAAAGATAAATGAAGCCCTTTCTCATGGATAATGACTCAAAAGGTGGCTCCATCATTGGGGGCACCTTGATGGGAAATTATATTGGAATTGACGGAACCAATTTCATTTATTTTCAACATGTTTCGTCCACCCTGTGCCCCCAGCCAAGCACACGCTGAGAGTAATGATGCAAAGGATTATTATTCTTTCTTTGCTCTTTAAATTATGTCTTTGCTCCGACAACCCTTTTCGCTCCAGTTCAGTTTATATTACGTACGTCAGTGATTACTATAGAACTATTAGCTTGCTTTATTTGCAGAATGGTTAAATTCTTGAAATAAATCCGTACTTTTTTTGTAAAAAAAATTATTCCATCCATATTTGCGTAATTTCCTTGATAATCAACCCATGTAAAAAATGCATAAGTGAATTTTGCTCAACGTGGTGATGACGATATTTGATTTTGAATATTGGATGGATGACAAAAACTCAAATCTGAAGTGCATTTGTCAGTGTCAGAGATGAATGATGAGAAATAACAAAGGATCCCTTTGTGTCCTGATTCTTGTAGGTGAGGAGAAAGCGGAGGAACCAGCATCCGAACCAAAGTTCTGAAATGACAGGTATTCTGCCTGAATGCAAAGACCTTCAACTGAAACTACAGAGAGAAAGTCGCTGACGTTTCGTTATCTGACTCAAGTGTCTTTCTAATCATTTGTACACACATCCCAGTTTCCCATGTTCTTCTATTAATATGCACAAAATCTTGAGAAGGGTGGATTTGCCAGATGTGGAAGATTGATTTCCCTTCGCTGGTGATGTCCTATGTAATAGCTGCATATTTTCACCATCAAATCCTCGTTAAGGAAAGCTCTGCAGTTTCAATTGTCGTGCCATTGTGCAATCCAGCTACTGAGGTGTGCAAATGGCAAGGTGCCGTAATTATTCATTCATTCAGGTATATATTAATTTTATAGAAATTACAAAGGTGACTTTTCCGCATTCCAGTTAACCAAATAATGAGCTTGACATCAATTTCAGAGTTGTACGACAAATCTACTTGTTTGACCTCGCTGAGAGATTTGTAGTTCTTCGTGCCTCACAACCAGACTTCACGCTTGTCTAATTCCTGGTATGTACAAGATTCCTACTTATTGAATACACGGAGGAACAGTGGAAATTCGAAGAAAGTTTTGACTTTATTTATCGAGCCTTTGAGTGTGAATCTATAGTGCAGATTCAACATACATAAATATGCACTCATTTTCAAGATATTTTGAAAAATTTGAAAAAAATTTGAAAAACTATTTTTACAATTATTATAACCCTCCTAATTTTATTTCTACATTTTTTATGCATATTATAATACTAACTATAAGTCGACATAATTTGTAAATTTTCTGAATTTATATTTAAGAGTGGCAAACATCGTTTCCCCACATTATCAAATGGGCTTGTGTATGGACGTTGTATGAGTTGGACCACTTTCTCCTCTTTCCTCTCTCCTCTCCACTTTCTCCTCTCGTTGGTTGAGTTGCGGAGGGTGGAAAGTGGACTCCACCTACAGTCTCGAAAGCCAAACTTTCCTCGAGCGTGATTTGGAGGTTGGCTGCCGAGTGGTGTCACAACTGGAAATTCACGTTCCGGCTTTTCACTTTCATCAGCCCCAGCAAAAGAAAATCTCAAGATAGAAATACTAGTCACTTTCACCAGTAGTTTTCAAAAGCAGAACACCAGACAATATATTAGATTTAATGTGTATCAAATTTCCCCAATCCATCCAACAGACTTTTTCCGTTGGTGCTTGATTGCATTTACTTGGTTGCAATAATTTCCAATACGATTGCAATATAATCCAATGTATGCCCACGTCGTTGATATATTTATACGTTCCACATAATTCGAATGTGCTTCAAACAGTAGCACGCCATTTGGCAAGCTATACATTTTTCAGTACTAAAATGCAGAAATGAGACATTATTTACGATTGGACTGGATAAAAGCAATCGCAGTGACTTTTATTAAGAAGGTTGTTTACATAACGATGACGTCCAATTCTTGGCCAAACCCTTGGAGATTTCCATTGTAGACAGGCGTGCAATTTAAAGCATTTTAGTTGATGG